AAGCTTGAGAGGATATATAAAGTTAGTCAATATTGTTTTTTGAGGTAGCATTATAACCAACAACATTTAATATTTGCCCTTCTGGGTCACTACAAACATAACCTAATTTGAAGTGGACTTTTTGACCAAAGAGATGTCTTCAGGCATCCTGTTTTTCATTTAAGAGCATGACTTTAAGCTTATGGACTCAGGCTAAAATTGCCACATGGATAAGATCACTGTAACATTTAGAGCTTGCTCAGGGGTCTGCTAATGTTAACTTGTTACCTCCTATAGATCGACCCTTCAGTGATTGGAGGAATGGTTGTGGAAATCGGTGACAAACGCATAGACATGTCCATGGCCACAAAGATAAAGAACATCACAAATTCACTGCGAGAAAGTGTCTAATATTTTTGGAGTTGTAAGTTCTGAGATTTCCCAAGTTGTTCAATAAAGGTTCGATTGTTTGATGACTAAAAATTAATTTGATTGTAATAATTTAATAAGTTGTGGAATATCTGCTCTTTGGATGTAATGTAGTTGAATATATATGAATGTTGAGAATCTTTTTAACTCTCAAGATTGCATTTACCCCCAAGTGTGATTTTCCTCATTGGGAAATAAATGGATGAGAAATTCTTCTGTTGATTAATTATAAGAATTTACTTTGGGATCAAATTGTCTAATTTCAGTGCTCAAGCGTGGTTTTTTTTAAAGAATTGGTTGCAATATCAGTAAGATTATGCATGGGGGTGGGAGAGGGAGGGGGTTTGATTCAGTAACTAGGATGTCCTGATAAAATGCATACAATAAAGTTTCTTTTACATTATCTTTTTTATATTTGAAAATGTTGTGCAGTTGTATTTTTTCACACCTGATTAAAACCTGATGTTAATGTGCACCTTCCTTAACTTAACAGTAAATAGCGACTACTCACTTGCTGAAGCCGTCACCAAGAGTCTGGCAAATTCTATATTCATCAGTTAAAAAGGTTTAACTATCCACCATATATTCTCTATGAAAATTATATCTCACTCCCCACATAAACATTTTAATATTTTGTGACTGTTAAGGGCCATGTATCGGTAGGGGATTTTGTCCTCTATTTATCAAATGCATACCACTTTTCCATGTGTTTTGTCAGTTTTAAGGCACACATGTTATTAAGAACTGATAAGAATGAGCAACTACTAAGAACATTGTTTGTTTATTGTTTAAAATTACACAATAAAAATACAATGTAATTCAAATGCCAAGCACTATGTATTGCTTTGTAAAATTGTATTTAACATTCTATTTTTAAAATATCTGAAATGATTTAAAACTTGTGACAGATAGTTGCCACACACAATTAAGGATGCATATGCTCCATTTCACAAATGTGGTCTACTTCTGTCTTGCAAAGACAAACTTTTCTTTCATTTGATTATTTACAAGTTATAAAATTCTCTTTTATATCACAAAAGGGTTAAAATTTAAACTCCATTGCATTTCTCTAAGTTGCAGTTCTCTTACTGTTTAGACCGTAGTTGCATTGTTAAGTTACAATGAACTCAAAATGGGAGAAGAAAGTTTTTTAAAACTTTTACAACTAGGAAACCTTCTCTTGCTGTTTGAGAATGTGGAGTCCAACTAAGGAAATGGAGCTAGTTTAGAGCACTGCATTCTTGCAGCATCTAATTAAGATTTTTGCTCTCATTATTTCCTTCTATTTTTGTTTTCTTAAAAGGTAACATTTTCATCAAATTTGATTGGTCCAGATCCACAACCAGCATAAAAATAAAGGGGTACCAGGAATTTTTTTTCAATTGCATTGAATTAATTGGGTTGAAGGAAGATGATTGGTTAAAATTGTTGACCAAATTATATTTTATTGGTTAAAAACATACTGTAACTATCAGTTGAAAGAATTAAAGCAGACATTTATGAGGAAATCCCCTTTAAAAGTGAACTAAAACACTGTCCATGTACCATACCAAAGTATGATCAGACTCAATCTGTAATGATCAACTAAATTTCCTTAGCACAACAAGCAGATATAGCTCTTTTAGTTATGAACTCATCTTCCATCAACCAGAGGTGAAAACGAACCTGTTGCAAGAAATTTCTAAAGCTGCTGTGCTTAGCAAGGGGAAAGTCTCTCTCCATTCGTACATCATCATGAAAAGCTTCCTTGTTTTCTTTGCCTGATCGAAATGGGCCATATGCATGCACTTGTAGCTCATATTTTGCAACATAGTGCCTCAACACGATGTAGTGTTTTAGCCAGTCATCAGCACAGTAACGGATTGTGCGGGGGTCAGTTAGTATTTTGCGTTGTCTGTCAGTAAGCGTGGACTCCATCTCTTGTAAGGTTTTCTTTAGTTTTCCTGTTACAAGAATTAAACAAGTACAAATTTATTGATACTTTCATTTCTATTACATTGTATTTCATTGTAAGAGCACAGTAAAGGATCAGTTTCTTAAAATTTATGACAAAAAGAAATCTTGTAGTTTGTTGAAAATTGACTAGCAGTAGCATTCTCATATTTAAAAACTAGAGAAAGTGTAAATTGTATGGTAAAAAAATTTTTTCCCAGTTATATTTACCATAGTACATTTAGTGCTTACACAAGTTGGTATGAAGAATTGTAAGGGTTTTTTTTATGCTAGACTGCTATTGCCAGGGTAAGAGTTTGTACTGTTTAGTGAGGAAGGTGGCTAACCAAATGATGGAGTTTTTTTCAGCCCTTATTTACCTTCAGACATTGTCTCTGTCTCAATTTCAAACTCGCAGTTAAATTACTATAGGGATAAAGCCTTCCAGTGCATGATTTTCCAGCAAATATACTACACTTCTTGATTGTTAAATGAACTTCAACAGTTTTGTTCTTATTCTAATGATTTACTATAAATAACTCATTCTTACTTATGTTGTAACCAATGTTATAATTGTTCTCCAGAGCTTTACCACTTGTACCAGTTGTAGATAGTGAGACTTCTGCAAAAAGTTAAAGAAAAAACAAGTGATTTAGGGGAAAAAGCAAAATACATTATGCAACACATATTCTATTAGTGGAGACCAGATAGAGAACTTGTCTTATTAAAATTTTGAGAAGAAATGTACATGTAAACCATATAACTTTACTCTAATTAAACTGTAAAGTACATCTTTGATGTATTTTAATTCCTATTAAGGAATTCTCTATAGATAGGAAAAGGTGAAGAACCATTCATGCTAACCTCTGGCAAGAGGACCTACGAGAAACTTTCTTGTAGTTGTGGAGTGATTATGAATGTAAAAGTTTGTCTTTATCTCAGCTAATTTAAAAGTCACTGTGTTTAATAGTTAAGGGTACCCATTTTGTCATTTGGTGTTGCCAAAGAAGTAGAATTTCTTGTAGTTACTTGTAAGTTTTCAAAGAAATTGTCTTGTGCTGTTTTGGCAGACCAGTGAAACATGTAGTTGACCATCAACTTGAGTTACTTTAGTTGCTCAAAAGCCTAGTTATCCAAAATTCACAAAGGCAGTTTGTTAACCTTTATCAGTTATGCATTTAACTTTTTCATTTTTGTGGAGCTCTGTAAACGTGAGAGTGCATGTATGGTCAGGGAAAGAGAGACTTGATGTCTTCAAGGGTGTGAAGCTGACTGGATTGTCTGTTGGTATTTTGTAAGATAAAGGAAATGTTATTTTTGAGAAGTACTCTGTACATCACCTCTTAGATTTTAAGAAAAAGCTTTGGTTGTTACTGTAGCATTTTCCAAAAATAGTTATTTTCCAGTTTAGATTATGTTTCTCTTTGTCATTATTCTCACCATGTTTCAGTTTGACATTTCATTGATGTCAAAAGGCAACATTTGAGTAAGTAGAAAACTTTTCAGCTGTTTTTGTTGTCACACATATATTGTATACCTACCAGGTATCACTGAATCTTTGGGAAGATAATCAGCCCCACCTGTGCCAATGTAATCCAATGCTGGGTCCCCTGTTGAGGTCAGAATAACCTATCATTTATATTTATTAGTCACATTGGTCACATTGATCACATGATCAATTTTGAGTCAAGATGAGATTTATGGGTTGGGATAAATCAATGAATTTTGACCTCTCCCCCTCCCTCCTTGCCCATGGGTTCACAGTTCGTTGAGAATTAATATTTGATCTTGTCAGTTTGAGAATTTTTGTTTCAGGAAGGCATGATGGGAGGGGAATCCAAATCTCCTGGCTGAACCCCTTCCTCTCAATCTGCCACTGAGCATAAATGAGGGTAGCCAAATTAAGACTCAAAGTTTGAAAGTTTTCAAATAAACTGTTGAGTCTCTTTACTACAGCACTTACTTTCCATACTCGATAACAAACGCTTACCATATTGTAATGATTTTTTAACCAATATCTTCAATACTTTCCATTCCTTTGGACTATATCCAAGAGTGAAACAAACTCGTAGGATCAATAGGGGAAGAAGCCTTGGTGATGCCAGAAGCTGTTAGAAAAGTACACCCGGTTAAAAAGAGAAATTAGAGTGAGAAATAAAGGCTTAATGACTCTGAGTGCACTTAAATGTGGGATGTAAGGTTGGGTTTCAATTCAGTTGGCTGGGTCACTGTGTCAAGTTACTACCACCTTACTAGCCTGCAGAACAGGTGAAATTTGTTTACAATTTTCAGGCGAATGGAGACAAACAGGGTTTAATTTTTTTTTTTTGCACTCCTCTTAAACCTGACTCACTTTATGCTCAGCTAGCGTTTGCCTCTGTTGGCCTGAGAATTGTCAAAAGTAATTACATTTTTTTGCTGGGTATCACCTCACCAAACAAATTGCAACAACATAATCCAAGTGTGATTACCTCATCAATGGTTCCGAAGATAGCTTGTGCCATGAAAATCAATAATGTCTTGGGAAAACCATAAGTCTTACATATTATATCACAACTCATCCAGTGGTTGGTCTGATTAACACGTGGTGGAATCTTGGCTGTAAGGAGTTGATTTTAAACTTTTAAAAATTGACTAGTTATCAGTGGGAATAATACTTCATTATTGAAGCTTTCCAAATGTGATAAGTTTGCTACCCAATTTATGACTGTTTCAGGTTGCTCTCATTCACCCTCTCATATTTCTTTGTGAGAGGGTACAGAGGTTTCAAGCACTTTCTCAATTTCAAACTGACAGCTTGTTTGTTTTAATTATTTCAAGAATAGTTTGAATGAAATAGTGAAGTCTACCAAATTAGGCCTACCACACAACAAATTACAGCTAGTGAGCAAGCTCTAACTGGTGCTGTGGCATGACTGGGGCAGCAATAAGTGATGTAAAAGCTGACAAGAGAAGGAGGGCTGGGATTAAAATGTTTTTGCTACTCAACATGCTATGAGCACTGATGGTGGCCTATTCTCTGGCTACCTAAGTAATTATGCCACTTACGTTCAAAGCTATGACTGATTGCTTGACAGAGGCACAAAACAAATGTCCACAAGACAGGATTGAAGTACCAGTGCATCAGATTGAATGCATTATAGTATTTCACATGGTTTGACAGGTGATTTGTATGATTCCAACAAGTTTCACAGTTCAAGCTCTGCAGTGCAGAATTCTTCACAGCCATTTGAAAAGTGATGTTTGCAAGAATGTACATGACAGCCAAAGGCACAATCATGAAAAACTAAAAGAGCAAATTAAAGGAAAATTATTATTTTGGTAGGGGAAATTAAGAGGGATTTAGACAATGGTATAAATGTGGTTAAAAAATTAATGCAACACATACAATGACAGAAGTTTTGTGATTCCTGATGGATTTTAAAAATGATCTTGCCCCTGAGATTTATGATTATAAACTAAATGAGGCATGATGCTTCCAGTCACAGGGCCAGTTGGGCTAACCTTTAACACTAACATTGGTATTCATGTTCTCCATACTGTACTCTGTACATTAACTAAGGTGCTGAAAAGGAGAATTTGTCTAAGAATCAAGAGTTTCTTTAGTTAATTTCCTCTCTTCTCATCACATTAATGTGTGATTCAGTGGTTATATTGTAAGGAGAAATTAGATGCTAGTCACTCTTAATGGTTTAGGGTTAACACTCGAGAACCAGAAGCTGTATGGTGTCCACGCTCTTCCTATTGGGGAGGAACAAAGGAGCAAAGACCTGACATGTGAGGGCTGCAAAATCAAGCCTAGTTTAAGAACTCCAAAAAAAGGTCAACACTTTGGCATCTTTAGATTAATGAATAACCCCAACATTAAATTTCATTTACATCGAAGTCCACTGAAGAGAATATCAATTGTTGATATTCTCTTGTGAAGGTTTAATTCTATCACTTCAAGGATCTCATCAGGTATTCTTTTTACAGTCTGCCATATGATTTTTATGATGTTAGTTTGGAGAATTTGATATTGGATTGACTCTTAATCCCTTAATTGATATTTTTCTTTATTCTCATCACTTGTTGGTTTGACACTTTTAATATTGTAAGCAAAAATTATATCTTGGTGAGTCATGGGAGTTAAAGGGTTAATGAATTTTATGAAGACTACATACCCCCATACAAGGTGTTCTTTGGATAAGACCCCACAAACAATACCAGAAGAGAAGAAACAAAGCAAAGACAGCAGCTCCATTCCAAACAAGCACTTCAGTGTTGGCTAATGTGTAGCAGTCACGATCAAATCTCCACTGGGCGAAGAAACATAGCATCATCATAACAATCAGTGGCTAGGAGAAAAAAGGTATGAACAGAAATGTCACTCTTTTTAAATGGGCTCATTGAAAGTTATACACAACTTAAAACCTGAAAACCTTGCCAAAACAATGTTAACTCCCTTCAAGACCTCTTGGATAGGTGACGCTTAGTAACCTAACACCAGGAACTTAGAAAAAAAATACAAGAAGTTCAGTTCAATGGATCCCACTGGGAAAATGCTTAATTTCCTTTGCTGCCTTTGTGATCATACAGTTTCTGTTGTTTGCAAAGTGACACATATGGTCTATTGATTAAATGATAACCATGTAGCCATAAAAATTGGGTGAGTAGCAACCATGCGCCCATGATTTGGGCATGTAAAGACCTAATCTTGATTTTTCCACAAGCTTGTGGAAAATAATACTGGCCTTGACTTCTTGGAAAAAACAACAAAAACAGAGGTGCTCAATTCATACTGGCCAATACTGGGTCTTAAATTACACAGAATTATTTACACCAGAATTTTGGTAATGTGATTACCATGTATTCATAATTAGAGTGTATGTGATAACCATAATTACAGCTACAATTAAACCAAACCTAGAATTACAATCAAAGTAAGCTAGAGCCATTCCACAGTTACCAGTTAATGAAAAGAGGAAGGGCACTACATATTGTTGGAGTCTGTAGGACAAGTCCATATTAATCTAATGCAAGACACTATACTTTTTTCAAACCTACCATGAATAAATAGTGTCCAAGCTTTGTTTTAAATCTTAGGTGAAATATTTCAACAAGGTACAGTTGATAGTACAGACTTAAACCAGTTACATTGGTCAATGGTGCCACAAAGAACATAGCCAAAAATCTTGTGAACCAGTTTTCTGAACGCAGGATTGGATCACAGCAAGGCCGCCAACAAGACATCTCCCAGGAATCTGGCCAGTAACGTTTGGCACGTGGTGGTTGCTATGAAAACGAAGGAGATCTGTAAGTAAGTTTAAAGATATACTGTTTTTATACTGACTTGATCTTAAATTGATCTGTAACTCTCTTATTGATATGACATTTTCAATCATGAAATATGGTTGAGGTATATGAACTAGACAAAAGAGAAAGAGAAAGAAGATGATGACTTAATCAATTCAGTAAGTTTTCTTTTCTGCAGGATCACTGATGTAAAATTAAGAGCAAGATGTTTTGGTCACTTAAATGTCAAAAGAATCTGCAAGACTTATTGTCAGGTAAATATCTAAAGAAAACATTTGTGAGGCACAATGCAAAAAATAGAATAGGAGAGACCAATTTTCCTATTCTATTTACAAACATGACGCTATTGACATTGCTGATCCTAGCAGTATGCAGGATGCATGTCATATGAACTTTGTGATAGACCTCACTCACTGAAGAGTCTCTGTGGCTCAGTGGTAAAGTATTGGAGCACGGAATCTGAAGGTCTGAGGTTCAATTCTTTATGGGAACTCAGAATTTTTTCTTTCTCCCTCCCTCGTGACAAGACAACAAACATCTTTCTCCACATACAGAGAAGTTCTGATATTTACCCCTAGCAGAGGGTCCAGTTCATGTGTTGCACTTAAATGCTCTGAACTACCACTTGTTTCAGCTCCAGCATCTTCTTGATCCATTGGTCCCTCTATAACTGCAGATTCTCTGGCTCTACGTCGTGCCATGGAACCATATGTCCCTTCAACCAGTCTTGTTGATGTACGACACTGAATATCATCTCTTATTTCCCCGTTATGTACTATTAATTCATCCCATATTGGATCTGAAAATTTCATAATTTACAGTTTTTTGTATGTTCTACCCATTAATTGCAAAAGTAGTTGCCATGTGCTACACAAATAGTAGCTGTGATGGCTGAAATCTACACTTCTTCTTTCATCTTTCGAGGTCAAAGTAGCTGGATAGTAATAGGAACAAGGAGAATTACATTCATTGTCAATTTCAGAAAACAAATTCCTCCACACCTCATCACTATACTTGTAATAACAGCCAAAGTTTTTTGATAGCTGATGGGTACTTACGATTGTAGACTCTGTGACTGGCATCATATTCATGATCTTGTTCAGTAACTACGCCCAAATACTGACCCTCACTGTCACAGTATGGTATAGTAAATTTCACCAACCCACCAGGCTCTCTTAGAATGTCATCTGTCATTAAAAGTTTTACTTCTGAGCGGTAACTTGTACAATTTTCCTCTTTTGGTTTTATCCTTTTCAAGAAAGCTTGGAGTCCTGCAAACTTTATCTGCAACAAAAATTTTAAGAATCACTTTACCAGTGAGCAGGGGAAGCTACAAATTCTAAAATAACAAAGTTATCATGGTTATAATATTGCTGATGATAATAATGATACATGAAGGTGGGGTGCCTAAGATAAAACAGGCTAGCTCATCCTAAGTGGGTTAATGTGGAGGAATTAAGCCTAGACCATTTTTTCACAAATCAGATTAAATATGTCAATGGATAGTGATTTAAGTGTGTAGTCTACCACTGAGTTAATGTAAAATAATATGATAAAAACATAAACCTGCCTTCTTGTTAGGTTTTGAATGAGTAGTAGATTTAAACTAAAAATAGAAAATAATTATTTTCTCTTGATTTCCATGCATGACAGCTGACTCGTGTCTTGCTTTTATTAACCAACACCCAATAGAAATCTTCAGCTTTTAATCATAAAAAAAGAAATGAAATCACTTTTCAACCTTAAATGTTGCACTCATGTCATAGAAAGTAATGGTTTATGGTAGAAAAGGTATCATAGTCTATGGGGTCATAAAATACCATTTGGATGTCATCCTATTAAAGAAGCTGTTGGACGATTACTGCCTGTTGGTTGGGTGTTTTAGGTTTTCTCCTTGTGGGTATATTAATGACTAGAATTTTATTGGAAGACCACCTTCAACATGTAGTAAAATTTTTGTTAACTCTAGAACACCAAGTTTGACAAAAACTTCTTAAGTCTCACCTCATATTGTGTATTCTCCTCACCATGGTGACGCTGATCAGGCCACTGCAATCCTGCAGTAGCCCCACCTAAAGAATGAACCTGATTTCTGCGAGGGAGTGGCTTAAAATTGTTGCCAAAATCAACAAAAAGGACAATTTTATCTCCAATATCAGCAAAGTTGGGAAAGTGATTTCCTGATGAACACATTCGTACCAGTGGCTTGTTCCGATGTTCAGGAGGTTGGTGGTGTGGTGCAGTGCAGCAGCAACTTCCCATTGTCACACCTCTTTCTTGAAGACACTATCTGTTGATGACACACTTCACTTTATCTCTACTGATAACTAAGGATGGTACCAGTTACATTGTACAGAGGAGGATGGAGTAATATATGTATTTTTTACTATGCAGAGGGGAAATATAGGAGGCCTTGTTGACTGTATGATTAATTTAGTTCGTTAATTTTGAACAACACTAGAGCTCATCGCTCCTCATGTTAAATGTGCAATTTGTTGTACTTTGCAACTTGTGGAAGACTAGTCACAATCGCTTCCAACTTTTAAAGGACGATTTGAGTATGAATAAGTAATTTAATAGGAAAATGTTATTTTTTTTCCGGTTTGGAGGTAAAGAGATAAAATGTGACGGAGAAAAATTGATTAGGAAGAAAAAAAATAAATATCGCAATGATCTCTTTCCACTATTTCCACTATCATGTTCGATAACCGGTCGCTTTTGGAAAATGGGTCCATAACGAACTCGACAAACGTGTCTGCGGCATAATTGTGGAAAGCGGAAGCAAATAACTGCGCATTCTTCTATCCATATCGGTCAGCTTCAAAATTTTGCTTACTTAGTCAACTTCGGATATCGGTTTAAACACGTTGCCTTCGATTTCTTAGGTGATGAACAAAACACAGACCCTAAGTCCATGGACTACCCCGATGGACTACTAGATTTGGACTAGCCCCGCAATGACAATGTATTATGGAAATGCTACTGAACTAGTCGTTTTAGTGCAACAGAGGAGAAACCGTCTGCTTTGCGAATTTCTCTTAAAATAAAGATTGACCCTTTTTCATCGTAGGAAACTGAAACTTATGGTAAATGGACAATAGCATGTGTTTGATGGCCGAGGCCAAGCATCGAAAATTGCATCATAATTAATAATCAAGGGGTCCACTTAAAAATTCACCACGGATTATTTGGATGTGCTTTCCATTTTAACAAACCTTTGACTGGACTTTTAAACAAAGATTTTACTTTAGAAGAAGGGCTGTGGGATAGTTTGTGGAGAAAAGATGTCAATAGAGCACGCAATTCTACAGAACGAAAATGTTGCACAAATCTTGATCCCGTTAAATCAAAATTCGTCTGCACAGTATTCTCACCTTAAAAGTTGACCCGCTGGAAAATCTTGCTTAGCGCACTGCGCTGAGTAGTTTTCCCTCTTGATTCGATACACACGATTGATGAAGTATTGTCTAATGTAATGGAACTTTATACCACGCGGTAATACTATTATTATGATTTTTCATGGTAAGGCAGGAAGATGTATCGCATTACGAGATTACTACGCCATTCACAAGGAGTCATATGATCTCTCATGTGACGGAATTTATTCCGGTTCCTGTTTCTGGGAAGATCCCGGAATTAAGAAGAACAACAAGTAATGTTCTCGCCTAAATTAAAGATGCATTCCGTGGAAGTGAAAATTTAAATCCAGTCTTTTTTAATGATACGAAACTTCGTGGAGGTTTACAATGACGAGAAAAATATCTTCTTTAGAGAAGTGCGTATCAATTTCCGCACAAACTTAACGCAGGGGATTCCCCAAGTTTTGTGTATGGTTCCAAACTCATTACCACAAATCAGTTCGAGATGGAATCAGTCACTACTTTATCACGAGTTCATTATGAAACTGCAATTGATTTAAAAGCAGTTTTTATGCATTTAGGCATATATTTTTAGGAAAGTTGCCAAACGTGACCCGATGGGTTACCCAGTAGCAGTCACGCAAGAAGTAACTTTGTGCATGGAGAAAGAAACAGTAAAACGCATTTTTCTTTTTTTTTAAACGTAGTCTTTCAGGGTTTTCAAAAGCAACCTTCTCGTCACTCTTCGTTAACCTCTGCTGACTCATTTTCCTGAGCTGGAGGCTGGTCAAACATCACAGATAACAGTTATTGGCCTATGTACTTTAATGTTCTTCAAGAACATCAAAGTACATAAGCCAATAAACTCAAGTTTAATTTAGAACAGTAAAGCCTCTGCACTTTTATTCATTTCTTTTTTTCTTGTATTTGTTAACTCAAACAATGACATGCTCTAACAATTCACACCCTCCTTTCTTCACCTTTAGCCGGACCGTTGCGTGACTTAAGTTCTATTCAGTTAAAGTGACGCTGGGGATTCCCGAAGTTTGCTGATGCAAGACGCATTTTCCCCAAACAAATAGGAACTGAATTAATCATTGTTATATCACGAGTTCATGTTTAAAATAGTTCTGATTTGAAGATGAGGCTCTTACATCATTGTATACACGAAGGGAAAAAGACGTATGATGTGATTCCTGAGCGATATCGTGAAAATCGCGTCTTCTTCAGTTTGAGGAGGGTTTCGCATGCTGTTTTAAAAAAAGGATTTTATTTGGAGGTTCGTCTGTTCTATTATTCGCCATTCTTTTTTATCTTTTACTTTAACTTTGGCCCATGTGCAACTCTGGCAAAATCATCTTGTTCTGTCAAGTGCTTCTCATCGGAATTCACCGTTAGCCTAAAAACAGCAAACTAAAGTTTAGCCGTCAAGCGCAAAAAATGACAAATTTTAACTGTTATTCGTGAAAAAAGTTAGTCTTAAAATTCTTTCTTAAATACAATGTGTCATTTTGAAAGTGTCAAAACTTAGACTGTTATGTGTCTTAGTTTGTGAATTGTAGCCATTGTGGGAAACAGGAAATTATTCTATGTCAAGCTAATAGAAGCTCGATCTCCAATTACCCTTGTTGCTTCACTCTAATGGCAAAAAAAGCGAGAAGTAGATGTGTTTCAGAACAATTAAAAATTAATTTTTAACATTTCTGTTGACCGTAACAGAAAGAAATTAACCGTAAAATGGCCAAAATTTTAACAAAAATTCTCGCGCTCTTTAAGCATTGATCACGACATTGTGTTCATTACTCAAGACATGAGCTGTCCCCTTCGCTATCAGTTTGATTTTCACTGCTTGAACACAAGTCGCTTCTAGACCACTCCCCTTTTTCTAGCCTTAGCATATCAGACAAGCGGCTAATGCGCCTCTCGGCAGAATCAAGTTCCAGCTCAAACCCATGTCTCTGAATGAGCACCTTCGCTTCTTCAGCCTTCTCGATAGCCATAGCATTGTTTTGTTCAAAACAGTACTGATCAGACCGCAAAAGCAGCAGTTTTATTCTTGTCCCTAACGCCATTTTACCATCAGCAGTTCTAGATTCAGTTAAATCAAGGTGCCTTTTTGCTTTCATAACGTCTTCTTTGCAGATGTGGGTGTTGTTGTTCGCTGCCTTAGAGCAGGACTTTAGGAGCAGAGCCGCCATTTTGACGTTAATGTATTCTCGGTTGATTACAGCGTACTGACATGCCAGCTCATAAGATTTGTACGCTGTAGTTTTTCGGGTGTCCCGAGTTATATTCGCTGCAGGTAAAGAGTTAAGCAGTGCGCCATAACTTTGATAGAGTTCCGCTTTGTCTTCATGGGAATCCTGAAGTTCAAGAGCTTTTTGTGCCTCTTGCACGCATCTCATAGCGTTTCCAAATTTGCTCTGACGCTTGTACACCGCCGTCAAAAGATTCAAGGCTCGTCCGATCAGAATTCCCGGGTTTTTCAACTGCGGCTCCAGTTTCAGTACAAATTTTAGTATTCTTTTGGCATCTTTACCATTGTTCTGAAAAAAAAGGGCCATTGCGCGTTCAATCTTTAAACTCACTTCCATGTCAACATCTTCGGGCGACCTTCTTGCCAACTGTTCTCGTATTATTTGCTCATGTAGCTCAAACTCCCCTTTATCTTGTAGATAGTGTAGTTTTGTTATAAGTAAGATATAACCGGAAGTATTCATACATCCGCGCTTTGGAATGACTGGCATTGGAGAATGGACAGAGCTAGGTTTGCCTAATATTGAGTAGACTTGTGTTCCTTGTCTGTCTTCTTCTATCTCTTGAGTTTTTGTGACTGAATCGCTTTCTTCATCAGATGAAGTGGGCAGATTCTTGCTATCACATTTACAAGTCGGTACTTGACACGGTGTGCTGTTAGAACCATTCTGGATTATGGAAAAACCTGAAACCTTGATACGTAGAACTTTCTGGGATTGTCTTATCTCTTGATCCTGATCTGTTTCTATTGCTGCACCTTTCCTATGATGTGATTCACGTTTTCCATGAACGATTCCTCCCTCCAAGAGAGGGTGGATCTTCCTGTCATAAGAAAGAGAACAAACCGGATCTCCATTCTGAACTTCATGAGTGAAATCTTCAGGAATATCCTCGTCTAATTCTGTGAGAAAAACTCCACAGGAAACGCTTTTCTGAGTGGTCATTGTTAAGGCAATTGAAGGTAAGTGATTTTACTGCCCAGTAATTGTTTCCTGTGTGACTTGATGATAACGAGTTATTAATAATAACCGTGAATCAAAATAAGGGAATGTTTGAAGACAATTTAAGTGCACCTGAAAATAAAATAAAATGACAAACATAGGTTATGTGCGAATATGTGATACGAAACCCAATGAAAAACATTCAATATGCTTGAGGAATCAGAAAACCTGCTCGGCAACCTGACCTAAGTCGCACCTAACAGGACAGAAAAAACGGAGCTTGATACAAAGCGTTCAAATTTCGATCGAGGGTCCATGTTATACCGAAGTCAAGAAACCACACCTCTCATCACACCGAGGAAAGGAAAAATATCTCAGCTAGACTATATAGGCGTACTCAGGCACCCTGACTGCCCAGAAATGCGTTTGATTGGACGAGAAGGTAGTGCATATTTTCTTGACCAATCACAGAGCGAAGTATAGCAAAACCGGTCCAATCCGCATTACTTTCGACCCTCAAATCTCAGACGGATGTAAAGTTCAAAGCAACTGCGTCTCTGGGTTTTTTCATCATGATCCCTAGGAAGAAGAAAGATTGAACCTTTGGGGACATAGTAAGGTGAAGAAACTTCTCGAAGGATTTTGAAAAAGTTAAAGATTCTAATCAAAGGTCATAGTGTCCGGAAATAAAAATATATTTTATATCTCACATATCACAAAACTCAAAGCTCTGTGTGTGACAACCTGAGAGAGGAAAATCGTAGGAAAGTCCGCGGTCTCGACAAAGCCAGTTTCAAAATTAGAGGGGCTAAGACGTTTTAAAAGTTAGGACTGATTTTCCCTATGCAGATAAATATTCGACTTGATCTGTCAATGCGTATAATCTTGATCATAGATTATGACCAAGATCTGGTTTGACTAGAAGAATTAAGGAAACAATAAGATTCGAATAAAGGAAACTAAAAGAAACAAACAGGAAACGAAACACTACTTACTGGAGTTATGGGCCTGAAGGAAACGAAAAACGCGAAATCAACTAACTGAAGGCTCATCGTCCAGACCATAATAAGCAAACTGAACCCAGTACCGCGCGGTAGGGCAAACAAAACGATGTATATTGCGGTCAACACCATACATTGTTTTTAAATCTGTTATGGGCTGAAAAAAAGGTTTATAACGGGCACATATTTTGAAAAAGCTAATTATTTACTTAAACCTTCTTTGACCGCATCAAAAATGAATGGTTTTTAAAAAGGTCGGTCACGAGTGATTGAGATAGCGAAGGAGGAAGTATTTGTTTGTTAACACGTCAAAATCATTGGAAGAAATACGCTAAATATTGTGCGTATTCCATCAGTTCTGGAAAAATCATCTTTAATGTATGGCGTCTGTGTTGTCAAGAATCAAACGCTTTTAAGTCGAAAGACTTGGTTACAAATCGCCTGATAAATTCTTCTCTTAATTAAAACATGAAACTGAACCTTATAGATTGTGGCGTTCTTAAAAATTTTCACGCCATGATGGAGACCATGCCTGTAAACCAACATTATGTTATGGTATCGGGTCAGAAAACAAGAGCAAGACAAATATCCATTTTGGCTTATTTATCTGAAACCCTAAAAGTACACAAAACGGAAGTTGTGAGGACTGAACGTTCCTTCCTGTTAAACAGCAATTAAAATTCCTTTTCCTTTCGATTTTGATTGTGAACCATAGCATCGGTTAAAACACCACTGCACGCTATGGGGATCACTGATCATGATCTTAAGTTGAAGATGAAAATTTTGTTTTCATTTCGGCAGTGATACCATTTTGTTTATGCGGAAATTTTTCGCCCAAATTGTCGAGCGCGTGAATGAAAGCTGTCAACTGGAACCATAAACTTAGGAAGTATGACCTAATGAAGACGTCAAACATAACCTACCGTGGTTTAACAAGTAATATCCGTTGAAATGAAGCACGAAATGTTAAACATCTCCGCGCTGAAACACTCACAGACCTTCCGTTTCGTGAATACAAAATTTCCTTCCAACCTCGTTCCCAAGGGCCTCTCATTTAGCAAGAAGGAGAGCCTGGTAAAGCCGGACCGCAATGCGTACAGATGTCTTCGTCTGCACACCACTCATCGATGGCGGAACATAAAAAGGTATATCGAGGATTCGTCTCTTAGTCCCTATTTACATTTCCGCTATCCAAAGGCAAAAAGCAGTGAGGGAAGGTGATATCATGAAGATTACGGCATATGCTGAGATGGGAGCCATTCAGTATAAAATAAACAAATCACAGACAAACAATAAAAGACCAAATGATACCATACAGCATCGTCAAATCCTTCTTAGAAACGAATGAAGACAAGTCAACCTCCGAGCAGCCGGATCAAAGAAAGACAATAAGAATTGTAAGACAAACAAATTATTCACCCCAACATTCAAATCGTTATATTTACATTCTAACAACAATTTTACGAACAATATGCTGAGATATTTGCCAGAGTGTTTCACAGGTATATTCCAGATACACAGTATGCTGAATGACCGGTCTAAAGAAGACAACATTAACATAGCTGGTCTAGTATGTTAAATTATAAAATTCTACGCCTGAATTGTTTATACCACGATCTTAGAGGAACTGCAATGATGAGTAAAAGAGCTGCAGAACTTTGCCCTTTCTGTCCTCTTCAAAAAGGAGCAAACGAATCGCAGAAAATTATTCTTGGCGCACTCTACCCCACCCGACCCCCTCGCCCTCTGCCCCACCCGACCCCCTCGCGCTCTTCCCCACACGACCCCCTCGCCCTCTCCCCCACCCGACCCCCTCGCACTCTGCTAGATGTTGTCTAGACCTCGCGCATTTCACAACTCCATTTCTCTTCGGTTGTATGCCGAAAAAGTTAAGCTTAAATCTTTAAAGTTCCCGCAAAACTTCATTGTAATCTTCGCCATTTTCCTAATCTCTCTTTTCCCCTTTTCTTATTCCTTAATAATAAATTTTAAATTTAAAGTTTGTTTTATCTCTCAACCGCATTAGTAAGAGAGTAGAAGCCTCGTGTTCCTACCTTATCACTGAGTTAGACAGTTTATCCATTATGTCTTCGCACAAGTTAAGAGAAAACGGGCAAACCTGTAGAGAAAATCAAGCATTAAGCGATCAGTCAGTTCCACTCCACTTGTCAATTTAAATATTTCTGTGCACATTTCAGAGAGAAGGCATTTCACTAATTTGAATCGGCATCATCACCAATCACACAAGGGACTCAACTGTATTCCTATGGACAATACAGTTTACCTCGCAAGTTTTAATCCCGGTCTGACGAAGGGCCAACGCTCGAAACGTCAACTTTGTAACTATTTACGGTAGCCAATTTACGTTATCAACTCAGTTGATAAAACTAAATTATCCCTTACCGATCATAGCACCTTTGTCCAAGAGTTCGCGATTCTTCTGGATACTCAAGAATGATCGCTCTCTCATTATTTCCAAAACTGAGTCGTGCATAATGGTATCCTCATCTGGTGTACAAAATATGGACTTGCTCGCAATCCAGGCAAAACAGAAGTTCTACATTCAACATCGCAGTTTGCAAAGCATCATGGAAAAATTCTTGGACATAATATAAAGAATGTAAATATTACACCTTCACTAACTGTTCGTGATCTGAGAGTCATTGTTGATTCGCATCTTCAAATGACAAAACATGTTGACAACATTTGTAATTCTGGTCATCTTGCTTTGAAGAACATTGGTAAGATCAGAAACTACATCAGTCAATCTGACTGCGGGTGTTCGGTGCATACTTTTATTACTTCTGTACGATTCGTTGAATTTACTTACGGTCTATAGCGCCGCTGAGAGTTTTCCTAAGGCGGAGTTTCCCACGCCGTGTGCATTGCTTGAGCGTCGTTTATAGCTTTTTTTTGCCATTTTTTTGCCAAGTTTAGTTTATAGTTAAGGGATTTTGAGGCTGTCCTGTAAGAAGTAAAAACTTAAAAACGTTGCTGGCCCCTACAACAGCAGTACCAAAACTATAAAACTCATGCCTGGCAGCATCTGCTTATCAAATTTTAAGTAACTTCAAAAGTTCAGTTAAAACGTATCTTTTCAATAAAAAACTTCTTTGAACTTTTTTTCAAGGGCTTAAACAGCAGCACTAAAGCAATCTATTTCGATGCCAAGCAGCATCTGCTTATCAAATACTTTAATTAATTTCAAAAGCTCAGTTAAAACGTATCTTGACATATATATTTTAGTTTAGTTAAGTTGAATATGCACAGTCGTATACATATGTAATATGTGCATTCATAACTGATTTTGTGACAAAAGCGTTTTCTTCAGCTTGAGGAGCATTTCGCACCCTGTTCCAGCGACAGAGGAGAAGTTTAAAATTTTGTTTCTAATGCATTTTTTTTAATTGTCCGAAGGTTCGTCTGTACTATCATTCGCCATTTTCATTTTCTCTTTTACTTTAAAATTTGACCCATGTGCGACTCAGCCAAAATCATCTTGTCCTGTCAAGTGCGTCTCAACCAAAATTCCTGCACTCTTTGAGCAGAGATCCCGACATTGTGTGCATTACTCAAGACATGAGCTGTCCCCTTCGCTATCAGTTTGATTTTCACTGCTTGAACACAATTCACTGCTAAGCCATTCCCCTTTTTCTAGCCTTTGCATATCAGACAAGCGCCTAATGCGCTTCTCGGCAGAATCAAGTTCCAGCTCAAACCCATGTCTGAGGATGAGCACCCTCGCCTCTTCAGCCTTCTCGATAGCCATGGCATTGTTTTGTTCGGAGCAGTATTGATCAGACCGCAAAAGAAGATGCTTTATTCTTGTTCCTAACGCCATGTTACCATCAGCAGTTCTAGATTCAGTCGAATCAAGGTGCCTTTTTGCTCTCATGACGTCTTCTTTGCAGATGTGGGTGTTGTTGTTCGCTACCTTGGAGCAGGGCTTTAGGAGCAGAGCTGCCATTTTGATATTAATGTATTCTCGGTTGATTACAGCGTACTGACATGCCAGCTCATAAGATTTGTACGCGTTAGTTTTTCGGGTGTCCTAAGTAATATTCGCTGCAGGTAAAGAGTCAAGCAGTGCGCCATAACTATAATGCAGTTCTCCTTTATCGTCGTGAGAATCCTGAAAATCAAGAGCTTTTTTTGCCTTTTCCACGCATCTCATAGCATTTCCAAATTTTCTCTGACGCTTGTACACCGCCGTCAAAAGATTCAAGGCTCGTCCCGTCAGAATTCCCGGGTTTTTCAATTGCGGTTCCAGTTTAAGTACAAATTTTAGTATTCTTTTGGTACCTTTAAGATTGTTCTGGAAATAAAAGGCCCTTGCGCGCTCAATCTCTAAAATTGCTTCCATGTCAACATCTTTAGGCGACTTCTTTGCCAACTGTTCTCGTATCATTTGTTCATGTGCCTCAAACCTCCCTTCACCTCGTAGATCGTATAGTTTTGTTACAAGTTGGATATGACCGAAAGTATTCATAAATCCGCGCTTTGGAATGACTGGCATTGGAGAATGGACAGAGCTGAGTTGACCTAATATCAAGTCGACTTGGGTGCCTCGACTGTCTTCTTCTATGTTCAGAGTTTTTGTGACTGAGTCGTTTTCTTCATCAGAGGAAGTGAGACAACTCTTGTTACAACATTTACAAGTCTGCACATGACACAGTGTGGCGTTAGAACCATTCTGGATTATGGAAAAACCCGAAACCTTGATACATAGAACTTTCTGAGATTGTCTTATCTCTTGATCCTGATCTGTTGCCATTGCTGCACCTCTCCTATGATGTGATTCACATTTTCCATAGACAATTCGTTCTTCTAGGAGAAGGTGGATCCTTTTGTCATTAGAAAGAGCACTAACTGATTCTCGATTCTGAACTTCTTCGGTGAAAGCTTCAGAAAAACTCTGGTTTAATTCTGTGAGAAAAACCTCACAGGAAAGACTATCCTGAGTAATCATTGTTTAGGCGATTGAAAGTAAGTGAACCAGGAATTGAAACTTTCCTACTGTGGGCAAGACTTGATGATAACCGTGATTCGAAGTAAGTTAACGTTGGAAGACAATTTAGTTCCACCTGAAAATAAAATAAAAAGTCAAAAACGGGTGATAAACGATGGATGGATATATAATACGAAATCCAATGAAAAACATTCAAAATGCTTGGGTAGTCAGAAAACCCACTCGGTAAACTTACATAAGTCGCACCTAACAGGACAGAAAAAACTGAGCATGATAAAACGCGTTCAAATTTCGATCGAGGGTCCATGTTATACCAAAGTCAAGTAACCACAACTGCCACGACATTGAGGAAAGAAAAAATACCTCAGCTAGAATTTATAGGCGTACTCAGGCACCCTGACTGCCCAGAAATGAGTTTGATTGGACGAAAAGTTAGCGCATGTTTTCTTGACCAATCATAGAGCGAAGTAGAGCAAAACCAGTCCAATCCGAATTACTTTTGACCCTAAAATTTCATGCGGATGTAAGGTCCGAGCTGGTTGGGTTTAGGAACTTCTCAAAGGACTTTAAAAAGTTAAACATTTTTCTCATAGGTCAAAGTGTCTGGAAATAGAATCAATAGCAGTTTGGTTCCTGTTGAAAATCTCGCATAGAACAATATTGAAAGCTCTCTGTGTGACAACCTGAAAGAGAAAAATATAAGGAAAGCGCAAAGTCTCGGGGAATTTTTTTAAATTTGTTATGGACTTAGCAAAAACTTTAGTACGGAAGCATATTTTAAAAGGCCAATCATTGACTTAAGATGGCTTCTTTGAGTATTTATTCATTTATTAGCGATATTTAAGCAGGCTGGCTCAGCTCAGCTTCAAGCTGGTTTAGATGGGGGCCTGCTTAGGACATATTTAGTAAAACAAAGTGTACATAGAAATACAAAATACAAAAGGAGCCGACAACACAAATTACAATTTACACGCAAGATATACAAAATACATTAGGCTAAAAAGTACATTACATCAGTTACTGAAATGAAGTTTGAGAAGTTTCTTGAAA